TCCTGAGATGATTAACATTTATCATCAAGCACTGATGAATATCTGATTCTTACTAAGAAGCCCATAGATGGCTTAAGGGAGTGTTGGACATGGGTTTCAAGTAGTAACTAGATGTAGCAAAAATGTTCCCTTATTACCCCTAGAAAATGAAATAACTAATATTCACTGTCCTACTTCATTTGAAAAAATAAAGAAAACACAACATATACAAAGCAATGACCTATTTGGTCATGCAAGGTTGTTGTTAAACACTCACCCATGAGAAAAGTAAAATCTTAAACCCACCCTTTATTTTTCAAGAAATTACTGATTTATCTCTGAAGTTTCTTTAAAATGCTGGTCTCTCTCACTGTCAATGGCAACTTATTCAACAAGTCAACCATCCAGTTACAAAAATAAAAATGCCTTAACTGGAGCTTAGCCTGTCTTTTCCAAATCTTGTGTCTTTTCATTGTATTATCTTCATAATACAACACAAATAAATTAGAGGCCTTCATCCTATTGATCCCCTGGATAATCTTACAAACTTAAGTAAGCTCACCTCTTACCCTACTTTTCTCAGGAAAAACAAATTAAGAGATCTTAACCTGTACCTGTAAGATAACTCTTCCACATCTGGAATCATTCTCTAGTATATACGTCTGTCTTCGGAATTCTTTCCAATCAATTAATATTCTTTTTTTTAGAAAAGGAGACAAAACATTTACACAGTATTTAAAATGGGGCTTAATGCATGACTTGTGTAAAGATAAGCTATAATTTTCCTATACTGATAATGTATTTCCAATAGGTACTTCCCTCTTCTCACAAGATTAGCTTTTCCTGTTTTGTGCTGCCCTCTGTATTCAAACTTTCTGTATAATGCATGCCACAGGCCTCCCCCCCATTGGAATCAAAGATGCATCATCTCTCCACCTACAGGAGAGCACTACTATCATGTGACATATGTGCCACTACAGAACATCACTTCAAAGTTTGGCAGATGATTTAAGCACTGGAAAATAATGGGGAGGATGGTGGGAAGTGTGAACGGAGGGAAGTACTTATCAGAAATACATTTTCAGTATTAGAAAATTATAACTTCCAACATGGTACTTCTCTCTTCTCACAAGATTAGCAAGAATCCCACATTGAAAAGGAGGAGGAACCATCGTGGGGGAAGAACAGACGTACCCCATGAAAGCATCCAAAGGATACTTCTGTAGATGAGAGAAACAGATCAGATGATCTGAGGAAAGGCACTGCACCACTTCTGAACCATTTATCTCTCCACCATGAACAGCTAGGAACAAACATGGTGGAAAAGGAAGGAAGCACATCCGAGTGGGAGAGAACAAGCCAAGAAAGTGATTCCAACCAGATAAGTATAGAAACTCAATCCCACAGAAGTGGGTAATGGAGGATGCATCCCATGGTGTAGAATGGTGAGGGCGAGGCAGACCGTACCCGGTAAGTCAACTACATCCAAAACCCCATCGAAAGAGAGAATGAGGGAGTGTCCAGGAGAAAAAAAAAGGAAAAATCTAATGTATACCCTCCGTGACCCACTACACAGAAGAAAGAATCAAGGGAGGAAGATGGACAACCCCAAACCTGTGTCAGGACTTAAGTTGATTGGTTCACTTGACTACCAAAACCATCCCGCACGAGGGTACCCAATCGAAAGTGTGAGCTGCATTTAGACGTCTCACTCTGTGGCATATGTCACTCAATCTACACCGACAGAAAACCCCCACACTATTCTGAACTGAATGGTTATAGCCATCTAGGTGGAACCCATCCATCAGGATGCCTCCATGGTCAACCATCCCAGCAGCTTGGAACTGGCAAGTCCTAATGACTCCCATAATCCACTGAAATCGAGGGGGGAAGAGTGCATTGGAGAGTCCAGAGGAATTGCTACACACCTGAGACAGTGCAATGGGTGATCACAAAACCCTATTTTGAAAAGCAGACCATATCAAATTATTCAGTCGAGGCATGGCAGGGATGGGCAGCTATGCCCTTCTGCTTTACCCATGCCGTCTATGGGCGGTACAGTCCGGGACGAGCCTATTTATGAAGCAAATATCACAAGGTTATTGACCATCCAGTGATTTTATGGAACACCCAATCTTGAAGGTGAGCATGCGGAGCCATAGAAAGAGAGTGTGAATCAATATGGCATACAGTGCAGATTTGTTTGTTTACATAAAGAATACCTGGTCAGACACCACTTGCCACAGAGGGAGATCCAGGAGATGAAGTTTGAAGCAAGGGCCTCTGAAGTATAACCACAGATGATAGGCAATATTCTTGTGAAGCAGAAACCATGGCATAAAGTAACTGGAGATGAACTACTGCAGAATCTCCTCTAAAGGCCAAAGAAGACAAGAAGCAACGGAAAAGGTGAGGTGTTAGATTTGATGGGAGGTAACACTGAATAAAGCACGTTGGGAAGGGGAGAAGGAGAAATAAGCCAACTTGATTAAATAACAAACCCAATTGGTAAGGGTAAAGGGAGAAAGATTCCGATAGGAAGAGGGTTGCCACGAGAAAAAAAAGACAGGAACTCCTGAAAGAAACTGTGCAGGCAATATAACAACAAAGGGCATGCACCAGACACAGAAGTTTATCCAGATCAGAATGAGGACAGAGATGAGAAATAGAGGGATGTGAAATGGGTGAAAAGGAGGACTTACCCTCACAAGCTACCTAGATCTTGGAAAGGAAGGAATGTTCTGGATTAGGGAAAAGATAGGTTTGGTAGTACAGTGTGCTGTTTCATCAATAACTCCATGATTTGAGGAACTTTGTACTAAAAAGCAAGCTCACACATCACACTTATAAAAGTAAGTGACTGGTTTCACAATTTTAATATCTTTTTCTTTCAAATAAATTTTTAACACTTTAATTTTTCCTGCCAATATTTACTAAAAAACTGATTAAAGAGAAGCAAAGAAACTAATATATTTGCTATTATTATCACTTGTGAAAATTATTTAGTATGAAGAAGAGAGGAGCCCCAAGAAAAATAATGCTGATTTGGGGAGCACCCCTACATAAAGTTTGGAAACACCGCACTTTTGCTCAAAATAACTTCATTCTCAGATAAGGCAAAAAGAAAGTGTACTGGAAGTGGGAAAGTGTGTGAAGATAAGTATCTATTGGAAATGCATTTTCAGGTAAGGAAAATGTTAACTTCTGAGATGATACCTCCACACACAGAATAGGTAGAATCCCTTATTGAAATGGTGAAAGAGGCCAGTACAAACATCAACCTAGAAGAGCTCCCTTCAGAAAATGTTCATTTAGTGTGACACCTGACATCAGGGTCTCCATAAAGACACACACCTATGGAAGAACTGCATTTTGTCTCAACCAAAGAACAGGAAAGACAGGGAAAGGCAAAAGAACCCCAAGTGTCGCACTGATGGGTGGAATTTTTGCATAACCTACTGAGCAACTGAAAAGAAGTGGTCGGCGAGCCAGAAAATGTAGTGTGGTTAAGCCGTAACCAGACTGTATGGTTTTTCTGACCTTGACTCTACTAGAAGACAGCAATGAAGGTGACAACCCCATTCTTGAGGTCGGCATCCAGAAACTTTGCCCTCCCACAATGCAATGTCTGCATAACAAATGAGGCAAAGGGGCAAACAAATAGCATGACAAAGTAAAATTTTGTTCATTCTGTGAACTTGTCTACTGTCTAGATGCATATTCATAACAACTATTTGCATTTATGATGAACTTTTGTTGTTCCAAACCCACTAAAGTTAATGAAAAGGAGAGAAGCCAAGGTCAGTAAGGTCCACCGAAGAGAAGAAAATTCATTGACAAAATACTCCAACAAACGGGCCTTAACAAAGCCAGGCAGGGATCAAGTATCAAGATTTAACTGAATGATCAAAAGGAGAGAACAGTGTTGTGGCTGAAACCTATGAACCATGGAATGCAGGAAGCAAGAGAAAAGTTGTGGGAGCCAAAATCTTACTATAACTATGTGTGTTATGCTCATTTTATATCATGTAAATCTTGTCTTCCAATTGTTTTATTTTAACATAAGATAATTGTACACATCCGGGTAATGCACACTTGGCCTTTTGGTCGGGCTGTTGACCAATGAGTAGGCAGAATGATGGTAGGGACAAGAATCAAGTCCAGTTAATTGTAAATTTACTCAGTATCTCGCTAATGCCTCAGCAAATAACTTCTCCACATATTGATAAGACATTGCAATTGATAAGCTGAATATCAAACAACAATATACGAACGATAATTGAGGAATTTGCACAGCAGCTTCAGCAGTAACATATGTATATGGTAGACCTATATAAATTGTGTACACGCTGCTGTACTTGCTTCACTACTCGTTGCCCCTTTGTCGAGATGGCGATCACAGTACCAGGCAAAGTCACATTACCATGGCATTATATTGACCTCAAGAATCCTTCTGCAAGAGAAGTTCGTACTAGCTGTTTGAGGGGTGACCCACACTACACAGACAGTGCTACCACCATCATACTTCCCATCATTTTAAACCTTTGGTTGTATAAGAAAACTACTCTCTTATTAACTAATGTTGCTTTTTTAATTAGAACATGTGAACTAGTTTTTTGAGTTTTAACACTGATGATGGAATTTGAAGCAATACCAAAACGTTCGTAATTAAAGATGTTTTTGTATTACGCTGTTTTTAATATTAACTAACATCATCAAACCAACTTATCTTTTCATTAATATTACTTCTATTATAAAAAAAAAAGGAAGAAAAAGTACCTAACCCGTTATTTGGGCTAAACTTAAGCCTAACTTAGTCTATTGGTATCAATACTATTGTATAAACGCCTAACATTATGTTAAACTTTCTACAAATAAAATACTCCCCCTGTCGAGTTGTATGCAATATCGATATTGATATAACAAACACAGATAATCTTAAATGCTGTGAAGAAAAATAATTATACTATAGTCTAATTATGATACCTTAGTTTACATGTATAAATACATGAACATCTTACCACAATAACAGACGCAGCCATGCTTGGAAGCAACTGTTATCAGCGCTCTCTACCATTAGAATTCATTGAACTATGATTAGAAAAATTAAGAGAAAAGCAGTATCACTGTGACATGTCTGCGGACTTCCAACGCTAGAAATTGGTTTTGATACTCGTAGTAGGCAGAGCACAGACAGCCCATTGTGTAGCATTGTGTTTAAACTACAAACAAACAAGAGAAGAATGATACTTTGTGAGTTCAGCTCCCATTTTCTTTTCTGTTATTTTAAAAGGATGGCATTTTCGAAGCTAAATGATTATACCTCAGAGAAGTTTAGCTGTAGAAATATGAGTGATATTAATAGTAGATTCTGTGGCATCATATCATAAGAATAAGTATTAAATATTTATTCTTTAGAATCTAGATTTGAATACTTCAAACTAATGAAAGCATGTTATCACGCACGTGATCGTATAACTTATTGCCACTGTCTGATCAAAATATTTGCTTCTGCTCCAAGTTTGCGAATGATATGGCTATCTGGAAGAGCTCCTATACCCCATCTATAGCAGCGACAAATCTACAACGACGGTTAAATGAAATATAAAACCACTGTAACAAATGGAGAAAACACAAATCATATCATTCACAAAATCAAAAGAGAATAGCAAACAGCTCCCAAAATTATGCCTTCATGGAACTCTTCTCCAGGTAGCCACATCATCCAAATTTCTGGGTTTAACCTACGAATCAAATTAAATTGGACTAAACACATACATGAAATTAGAAATAAAACCTGGCAAAAGGTGAATTAGATACAACGTCTGAGTGGCTATAACAGGGGCGCGAAAACAGAAAACTAACTCAAAATACATAAAACCTACATACGCCCATTGGCAGAGTATGCCTGCCCAGCATGGTTAAATGTAACCAAATCACAAGTAAACAAGCTACGAACAATACGAAATTCAATAATCACTAAAGCATACAGAGCTCCTAGATACACAAACACAACTTTCTTACACCGTTACGCAAGCATCCCCGTGTTGTCAGACAGACTTCAAAATAGATCTTTCGCAAAAATATTAACAAAAATGAATCATTACGAACGCTGAAAAACTTTATCATGCATGATGATAATAGACCTAAGTATCTTTCACAACTAAACCTAGTAAACTCCTTATGTAATGTATGGCCACCTACTACTAGCAGACCGGTAGCTAGATATTGTGTTAATTTTATTTTATAAGGGTTTATTTATGTGAAAATAGGATTAGTGCTATATGTTTTCAATTGATATTTATGGAGCTGTTTATGTGAACAAAATTTTAAGTTGACAATGAAAAAGTGAGAAGTTTATATCAGAAAAATCGACGTTATATATTGATGGACATGGCCTGAAAAGTGTCACTCGTGAGCGAATGAACTATTGCTACACAAATGCGGTGACTGCACGATGTAAGAACGGGTTTTCCTAGCGTATGGACCGTATTTTACTGAAGAATTAATGTGGGCTTCATCCAACACTCAAGAACCAAATCAATAGTCAAGGAAGGAAGTAGAGCTTTAGGTGTATCTGATCCTCCTAGGTCACATAACCAAACAACGACCAAATGAAACATACTCTGCATTGTAACAGTTAATGATTACATTAAAGAAAATAAACACATCTACACACCAAGTTTCCCAGTTGTTTCAGTTAATCTTCAGAACTCACAAAATGTAGAAATGATTATGCAAGCCAAATTACACAAGCATGAACGAAAATAAAAGTAATTACATTTTTAAACATACAAAAGACAAAGCTCCAGGTGAAAATGGTGTACAAGCAATTCTATTCAAGAAGGGTACTCAGAAATTGTTTGTCCATCTGACAATATTCTTAAATTTGTCCCTAAATTCTGGTTGTATCTCAGCCTCTTGCAAGTAAATAAATGTTTTAAAGGAAGGAAAACCAGGAAGCTACCGACCAATTAGTTTGACTAGTTGTATAGGAAAATGTTTAAAGATAATAATTAGTAATAGGCTCTCCACTTTTCTGAAGGTCACATCAAAATTACCCACAGTTCAAAATTGTTTCAGAAAAGTTCAGCAAACATCAGATTATTTAGATAGATCAACTGAAACCATAATAGATAATTCTAACATAAGGAAATGCATCGTCGCCTGGTTTCTCAATATAGGGAAAGTATCGTTGGTCGTCCACCTTTTTTTTAGATAAAAGAAAAGGTCGAGTGAACGTAGAGGGCACCTACTCGAGCATTTTACTCCCGAGGCAGATGTTTTCCAGGGAGGGGTAAATATCCCTATCCTTTTCATCATGTATGTAAGCGATATACCATTAGAAGATCCTAATTTTAGTCTAGCCTCACAATTCGCAGACGATGTGGCAATATGGAAGAGATCCACTACCCCTTTGATTGCAGCTACAAACTTACAGCCAGTCTTAAATTAAATAGTCAAGTATTTCCAAAAGCACGGGATAAAAAAAAATAATTTCCAAAAACTAACCTGGTCCCATTCTCAAAATCATCAAAAACATTTAGAAACCCTCCAGAAATATACTTGCAGGGAACTCTTTTTACATGTCGTCACATCAGCAAAAGTTATTGGAAAAACCTATGATTCAAAATTCACTTGGAAAAGTCACATTAAACAAATCAGAAACAAAATGTGGTAACAAGCAAACTATGTCAAGTGATTAATAGGTAAAAACACAGGAGCCACATCAGAAAATATCATTAACATTTACAAAAAATACATATGTGCTGTTGTAGAACACGCCTGTTCTGCTTGAATTAATGTAGCACAAACACATATTAAGAAATTACAGACTATACGAGATGCAGTAATCATCATAGATTTCAGAGTACCCAGAACAACAAACCCAAAATTCATGCATAGGTTTGTTAATGTAAAACCAATTCATGACAGACTCATAATTTGCTCGTTAAAATATTTCGATAAAAAGTTATATAAAAACAATCCACTAACTGCAATAGATCGTTATATCATACATGGTGAGGATAGTCCCAAGTATTTCTCTCCACTCCACTTTTACTATAAAAAAAAGACCACCTGCACTAGACTATAATATATCGCTTAGAATTAGGTATCATATTTAAAATGGTATTATATGCGAAATACACGTCTGGTAACTACCTCAAGTGAAAAAAGTGACATTTTAATGATTTTACTATGGAACTGTTTGTGGGTGTAAACAACCAAATGAAGATAAATAGTGAAATTGCACTAAATACTATAAACATTTTATTCATGGAAATGGTCCCGAGGAAGGAAGTAGAATCAGTGTTTTTTCCGTGTTCAAGACCTGATTTATTGAATACAACTGTAGCATTTGTTAATTTATCATACAATAGTAAAGGAGGGGGGAAGAGGTCTGAATAGAACCTGACCCTCCCAGGTCGCGCACAACGATCAAATACCCATCCAGACACAGCACTATTCTGCATTGTAAATGGATATCTTATTTCTATATCTTGTGGTTATTACTGGAAACAAGTGAAAATGCTGAAAATTTTATTTCCAGTCTTTGACTCGTAGAATTTTTTTGTGGTATGAGTTTTGTTCTAACTCGACTATTTACAACAGCTACTGCAGTAACGATATGTGGATTATTCTATAAAATAATTGTAGTTTTTAGTATATGGGGAAGTTTGATATACACTTAGTTGGATGTTGAAGTACTACGTTAGTATGCCAAGTATGTTCTGGATTGCTCAACTCGGTTAAAAGAAGATGCGTCCACAGACAGACAGAAAGTTTTCCTTGATATTGGATAGTTACCACACCAATAAGGCTTAATATTGTTACGACAGCGGAAGTCACGTGACCCTGGTAAAACGTGATGAGTTTCTAGAAGGATTGGGGAACATCACGAATAATCCAGTATTTGCTAGGCGCCCTCTATTTTAGTATATAAGCCGGCAAATAAAGTAACAGTAGATAATTGAATTACAGACAGGCAGTGATAGAGACGGACAATTGAGTCAAGCACGGTAGTAAGTAAAATGCGTGAATCGTTTGTTGTGAATTATAGTGTGTGTTTAAGTTAAAGTGACTGTGGAAATTAAGTGTATTGCAAAGTTGAATTGAGAAAGAATAAACTAGTTTCATTTAAGAAAGGAGTTGTATTGCTGAAGTTTCTTGGAAAGAATTTCTACGAAAAATTACCAAACGAACACAGACGTAACAATATGTATAGCACATATGTGAAGTACTCCGATTTTTATACTCAGCTCTGCCGAGGTAGAGCTGGATAAAGAAACTGCTTTAGTTCGCAAAGATGGCTTAGAGGAACAGATCTGCCTGATAGGTATATATAAAGAAATGACTGTAGTAATAACTAAAATTAGCATTTAACTAGGCCAGCATTTCCCAAACTATGGGTCGCGACCCA